CTGCCAAAAAAAAATCACTCTAATCTTAGTTATTTCAAATTATTAAACAAGTTCAAGAACTTAATTGAGCAAATAGAAATAGTCTTAAATAGGACTAAAAACATTTTGAAATTGCAAAATAGAGCTATCATGTTTTTATTCCCTAAATATGAGTAGTTCTGTCAAGTTTGAAAAAATGACATGTTTAAAATCTATTGGTGTCAAACTTGACATAAATTACCATATTCAGGGAATAAAAACATGATAGTCTTATTTTGAAATTAATTTTTTTTATTCTTATTTAAGGAATTCCTATTTAGGCAAAAATTTACGGTAAGACATCGTAATAATTTACGGTGACTATCACTTTGGCGTGACTAAAACGTCAATACAGTCCAGTCGTCCCTCATCCCAAATTGATCACATTAAGGCCAATATTTCGGACAATATTTTGTTGTATGATTTCGAATTTAAGATTGGTCTATAGTTTAACACGACCTTCAAATCAAATTAGATGATCCTAGCTAAATCAAGCATTTCTAACAGAAATTCATTAAATCGCATTTCTTTAATTTGCCATACTAATTAAAACTTGAAATTCCTTCTTAAAATATAGATCCAAAATAGATTACTGAAATTGCTAATTTGCTATAGATCCAAAAGAGAATTAAAATACATTTCCTGATTTCCAGTAAACACACACGTACATATAGTCATATACTACGTGAATTGTACTCCATCTCATTCTAAAGGTTGGTTTGCAAATGCTTAAAAAATAACACTTCTCAACTTTTGGATAAAAAAGCACTTATTTTATCAAACACTATCAACTTTTATTTTTCTCGTCTTTCGTATCAAAATTGTTTTTACTTTTTCTATTACACAAAAATACTTATTTTACTAAACACTACCAACTTTTACTTTTTAAAATCACTTTTTTCTTAAACACTATCAACTTTTATTTAATCACTTCTCCCCATTTCATTAAAAAAACATTTTTTTAAAGCAGAAGTTGTTGCAAACAGATCCTAAAAGAATTTCCATCTTTCCTTTTCGGGCAGTACCAAAATTAAGTTTCACTTTCAAACATGTCCTTATTTGACAAATTATCTACATAAAAAAGTGTCAAACAATGTCAAACAGTAAAAAAATGTCAAACAGTGTCCAAACAGTGCCAAACAGTGCAGTTCACAATAAAGCCAAATTTATTTGGGAAAATGGAAACTAATAATCCAACCTTTTAACGGTCTTCTTACAATAGTCCCACCTTTTGATTATTCATGAATAATCCAACCTTTGCACCTCATCTTCATTCACTGGTCCCTGACCGGTTGATGATCTACTATTCCAAGTTTTTTTCTTATCTTTGCAAACCATTATACCATAAATCTCACCTTTCACAAAGATAATATTTTGCAAAGATAAGAAAATAACTTGAATAGCAGGTCATCAACCGGTCAGGGACCAGTGAATGAAGATGAGGTGCAAAGGTTGGATTATTCATGAATAATCAAAAGGTAGGACTATTGTAAGAAAACCGCTAAAAGGTTGGATTATTAGTTTCCATTTTCCCAATTTATTTTCATAAAATTTTTGTACTTGGCCATTGCTCAAATCAATTCTTCCTTTTTAGTGTCGGTCAAGTGTAGAGTATACCAAGTGCAGTGTTACGCTACTATACATTATTTCGGGTTAGCTATTTAAAAGGATCCGCGTGATCTTTTCCGTTCTATGCACATTCCAATGATTCCATTGTAGCTTTAGAGTATGTATTCATTTTCATTCATTTGTTATTTTGTTATCATCCAATGAATAAATTAGTTACTGAATTTGACAAACTACATTTCCATAATAAATAGCGCTCCGAATTTTATTCTATCTATTTTAACCAGGTCTTTCTATATACGATAAACCTCAAGTCATGGCATCTATTTTCAATAAACTTGAAAAGACTTTAGAGGTTGAAATGATTATATAAGCTGAATTCAGGTTTCGTGCCTTGATTGTTACGGGGTATGTTTCTATATTCGCATTTCATTCAAATCAACCAGATTCCGTCGTCCTTCATCATTGACACTTATGTAGCCATAGTATGGGGCAATCTGGCCAATTTACCTCCCCATTACAAGTTTGATAAAATAATTTTAGAAACTAAAACTGGTTTGGTGATCCTTGTTTTGAGCTTATCAATCACTGCATCCGTCCTAATGAACTTTGTCAAGTAAAAGTAGGTGAAAATAAGAAAAATAAAAATTGTGTGGTTGATGTTTACGCAGAGGAAAGAGAATTGAGCAGAATCACAAGTTAGTTGCTTTAATAGGAAAGTTACAAAGTTTTTGTGACAATCAAAAAGAGAAATTTGGCAAAATCCAATGGGACGGAGGGAGAATCTTTTTTACAAAATACTACACAATAAATAATTTTTCATTTCAATCGTGAAATTGTAATAGAAGAAATAAATAAGGTCGAAATTACTTTTATGGATGAATTGATTTAGTAAAATATTGTAGAGATCATTTTAACGACGTAGTATTTTTTAATAGTAAAATAACATGTACAATTTGAGTTTAATTTTTCTATAATTCAATAGATTCAGACATTCAGTCACTTCAACTCAGCTTAGGATGTTTTCTTGTGGACTGTTTTCAGTCCCAGACCAGACCAGACCAGACTTAAACAGACCAGACCAGACCTGACCAGACTTAAACAGACCAGACCAGACCAGACTTAAACAGACCAGACCAGACCAGACCAGACTTCCGTAGTTATAAAATACACAGAGACCAGACGTTTACCAGACCAGACCAGACCAGTTCAGACCAGACCAGACCAGACCAGACTTAAACAGACCAGACCAGACCAGACCAGACCAGACCAGACCTAAACAGACCAGACCAGCAAATTTCAGTCCAAAAGAAAACATCCTTATTTTAGTGTTACCAAACAGACTCTACAATTATATATAATCCTTTAAATTTATTTGAATTGAATGGGTTATTTCCACATTCCACTAAAATTTGATTTTTTAGACCTGGGCATTCTGAACCGTCTCGGCCCCAAGATAATTTTCTAATATATGAACACATTTATTTATGATCTGTAAACATAAGTTGAAATTTTAAATTTTAATTCCCAATATAAATTTTCAACTTTTGGCCACCCTCGCAGATTAAATATATCTGGCTCCACCATTGTATATTTAAAGATGCATATTTTCAAAACATAGCCTATTCCATATCTAGTTTACTACTCCCTCCGTCCCTGAATGTTGTTCCAATTGCGGATTACGAAGGTTGACCGACGATAAAGTTAAATGATCCCTGTGAAAACTCGGATTATTTTTAGTAAATAAAATTTACATATTCAGAAATTACATTAAACCCGCTACAAAGCCTGCAAAAAAAGCAATTTTCATAAAATTTTGATACAAAAAGTAAGAATTTAAGAGTGATTTAAGTTGACTCTCGAAAAGCGAAATGGAAGTAAATTTAGGGACAGAGGGAGTAGTTATCTATATACAATTTGTAAAGTGAAACTCCGTATGGCTTTGTCTGTTTGATATAATCATACCTCCGTCCCAAAATGAGAGTCATATTTCTTTTGTGCTCAAAGATTAAGGAAGTGGTTGAAAAAGTAAAAATTATGGTTGAGATTTGAGTAGAAAAATGTGAAATGATGTGGACCACATATTTCTTTCCAAAAGGGGAAAATTTGACTATCAATTTGAGACGGCCCAGAAAGGAAATACGGGATCATCAAATTGGGACGGGGGAGTAGTTGTTTTATAATTACACTAGATTTGACGATTTCTATCTTGTACTAGTATGTAAACAAGACCATTTTTTTACTAATAAACAAGACCATTTCTGAACGTATCATTTACCCCTATGTATGTCCAAATATTTAATTTGGTGCTACGTAATTTTTAGTATGGATTGGACTAGGAAATGACTCAAAGAAGCGCTTGAACCACGAGTGCGAAAACGACAGAAAGTCAAGGGACAAACTGCAACGAATATTTAGTGGAGTACCTAAATACGGAGTATAGGCATAGGCCTTCGTATTGCTAAACGACCTCTCTATTGGGTTTAATGGTTTATTTTTATTTGATAGTACTCCATACATTCTTTTCAAAGTAGTTTGATTATTTAGATCATATTTAAATATGTTAATTCGCTTATATTTTTAGAAATATTTTTGATAGATATATTTTTGATAGAAATATTTTTGATAGAATTATTTGTGATAATTGAGATGTTATAAATGTATTATTTTTAATAATGGTTAGATTGTTATTCAAAAGGGTTAATTTTTTCTGGAATAGGAAATGAGAATCTTTAGTTAAGACATCTAAAAAAGTTAGTGAATATTTTTAAATGGAACAAAGGGAATACTTAATGATATAATACTACTTGTAGTCTCCTCTACTATACTACTTGAATTTATTTCATCTATTTAAATTTCAAATTGGTTTTTAAATTAAATTTATTTGAATCTATAATGTCTGATTTTATTTTATTAAATCTGAAGTTTATCTTATTAACATAACCCCTTTTAGTTTTGTTTAAAACTTTTTTCACATATCTTCAACCATTTTTCATTGTTTCCTTCATGCATGACCAATTTTTCTCTGATCTTCATGGTTATTTTCACCATTTCCTTTAAAAATGTTATACTACGTAGTATTTTTTTCCCTTTCTTCTTCATTTATTTTTCATTATCTTTTTCACTTGTAAATCTATCTTCAATTTTTTTAGTTTTTTAATAGTTCCATACAATTTTTAATTAGTTTGTTTATTTTCATTTTATTATTTCTCTCTCGATATTTTGGTATGGATTATATTTGAGATTACACTTGACACTATGTACGTACAGTACAGTACGTACACCAAAACCAAATTTGACTTGCACTATACTGAAGTTAGAACGTTAATTTACACTACTAAACTTCATTCACTCGAAGTTAATTAGGATGATCAAGCGCCAATGCCCGCTTGTAAAACAACCAAATACTTATTCAATAAATCTCTCTCATTCCATAACAAAAATCTCAATGTTACATTTCCTTGGGTAAAAGCTTAGGACTTACTCTAAAAAGGAGTTAAAGGATAGATTGATTGAAAAAAATTAAGCTTTTGGAATCAAGCTGATAATCTAATAAACATAAACAAAACCCTATGCATTATTCTTTTCTTGGAAGATTAAATAAAGATTTTAGCGCTCACACACATCACATACTTTTACATACTATAATGAAACAAATATTTAGTAATAATTAACATCACATCCCTAAAAAAATTTATCGACTTTTCTTAATCAATGAGATAACTTTGAGCGCTGGTATTAACTTCTTCTGGTTAAGTAAGTGGGGTGTTGATCATCCCTTGCCAAGAAAAATTAGGCCCAAACCCTTCATCATCGGAGGTAGTGTTACTGTTACCCACGGTGGTGCCGCCTTCATTATCTCCTCCAAGCAGATGCCATGGAAATCCCAAGTTTGCCCTCTGATCTTCTTGATCATCTCTTGGATTAGGGTAAGACCCTCCATTCTCTGCCCCTTCATATGGATTCCCAGAACCATTCTCCACGTTCACAAAATTAAAAAACTGCCCGTTTGTTGGGGTTTGGAGAAACCCACTTCCCAGCTGAAAGCCATAACTTCCGAGCAAACCGGTGGCGTTGATCGGCGGCATAATGTCAAACGGCGGCAGCGGCGGTTGCAGGAGCGAGGGCGGTGACGGGTTGATGATAATGGGGTCGTCCTGCCCGGTTTGGAACCGCGGCCCTCGGGACGAATGAGACTTCTTGTTTTTCCGGCAGCTGCCGCCGACGGGGACGTTGCGGAGGGTGCCGCCTTTAGTCCAGTACCGGCGGCAGGACTTGCAGAAGAACCGCGGCTGAGCGAGGCTGTAGTTGTTGTAGTAGCAGAACTTGGTGTTGGCGGATTCACATCGAGGGCAATTCGGGGATTTCTCACCCCCTCCACCATTTTGCCTCATTCTCTTCCTCTCTTGCTGATCCTCTTTTGAATTTGCCATTTCCATTATTCACTCACTGCAAATTCAGTCAGAAGTAAATACGCATATAAATCTTAAGAAAACAAATTAATGTAGGTATAAATATTGTTTGAAGTATATATATATATACACGAATAACTCTTACCTGATTACCAGAATTTTTATTTATCTCTATTGTGTGTTCCAAGATATCGGAGAATGAGGAATTTGCAAGCTTAAAGGAACAAAAAATGGAGGAAGTAATAATACAGATCTAAGTGGAAGCAAAACCATCGTTTCAGCTCATGTATTTATACGAAATAAAAAGTCCGGATTCCATCGGCTTTCTTGTTCAGTTGAAATTTATGAAGTTTTGACTGAAGTGTCTGAATTGGTTGATTTTGCTAACTTATAAAAAATCATATTTAAAATAATTTTAACCAATATACTTAGAAAAGTAATTTTATCCTTACTTTTTCTTATTATTGCATAATTCAGTGCGTGAAATCAAAATTTACGTATTCTGTGAAAAAGTTGATTGATAAGATGAAAAAGAGGATTACTCTGTAATACTTTGTATTACATCCGTCCCATTTCATGTGTCTTAGTTTGACTTGGCACGATTATTAATGAAGTGGTTGAAAAAGTAAAAGTTGTGATTGAGGTTTGAGTAGAATAAAGTGAAATGGTGTAGACCACATATTTCTTTCCAAAAAAGGAAAAAAGACACTTGTTTTGAAGCAAACCAAAAAGAAAAGTAGGACAGGTAAAATAGGAGGGAGAGAGTAATATTTACATAAGAATGCGAAATCAAACTTTGTTTTTTTTTCTTTTTTTGCGAGGATTGTTTTTTTTTTTCATCTAATGAGTGACGTAATAATATTTACATAAGAGTGACAGAGTGCTTGTAATGATTACAGACCGGCCAGGCCAGGTCTAAACCAACATCTTCTCCGTAATTAATTAACCTGTCATTATAATTTACTCCGTAATTTAATAAAATATTCACAATCAAAGTCACTTGATTAGATTTTGAATCACTGACTCTATCGTCAAGACACCCTATTTCATGACTAATGATTATTGAAGAATGAGGAATATAGTCAGATTATGATAACGTAGCCCACGTAGGGCCAGTTTTAAGATTATTTCCCATATATAACTTGATTATTACGGAGTATGTAGTAATCCCTCCGTATCAAATTAATTGACTCGTATGTTTTTTCACGTAGTTTAAGACAAATATATGTAAAGTATGAGATTTTTGGTACTGTACAGTACTGTAGCTGCTTTTTGGGTGGGTTTATTTCCAAAAAGAGAAATTAGACATTTATTTTGATACGTCCCAAAAGGAAAAGCGGATCAATTAATTTGATATGGAGGGAGTATTTGTTAATGAACAAATGGCTCAAAATTAGAGTAAAATGTAGGAAAGCGTTTAAAATAGGATTAGAATAGAATAAGTACGGAGTATGTTTTCTGCCTAAGAGACTTCTTATTTAGTCAGTATCGAATTTGAAAAGATTTGCTAACTATTAATCCTATTTAGGAAATTTTATATGGTAAATATTCAATGTTTTTAATTAAATTCTAGCGAAAAATTACTAGTAACCCCGTGAGGTTATGTCATAATTATTAACACAACCTTGCATTTTGAAAATCAATTAGTTACCCCCTCACCTTTGATCATTCTCACTATATGTCCCTTCATGTTAATATTGTTAAATTAAATTTAATATAACTCTTAAAATCAATGAAATATGTTTATAAATTAAATTTTAAAAGTAAAATACGATTTATTATCATAATTATAAATTATTGTTCTTGATCATTATTTTTGTACTTAGCTACTCGATCATGGAATAAATATTAATGAAAGTAGTTAAGATAGAAGACTCACGAGCTGAGTAATATTCATGGGATAATATATCAAAGAAAGTTGTTTAAAATATTGTGATCGAAATTCTAGATACCTATTCATCATGAATGTATTCATCATGAAGAAGTGTCTAGAATTTTGATCACAATATATCGAAGTCTTTTTGTAATTTATCCGGCTGAATTAATCTCAATGACATTTCTTTTGTGTGTAGCAAAGAAGAAATACCAAGAAAAAATGAATTTTATCAATCTATGACCTAAAAGATTAGTCTAGTATTAAAAACGAACCTAAAAGATAGAATGTTCCATATAGGGTCTGAATAATTGTAAGCTATCAATATATCTAAGACCTAAAATACATATCATAGATTTTGATTCTTTTTATTAATTACTCCCTCCGATTTTTAATAAACTTCACACTTTTCTTTTTGGGACGGTCTAAAATAAACCTCACACTTCCTTATTTCCTTTTTTGGCAAAGAAATCTACATCAAAACAGTGTCAAACAGTGCCAAACAGTGTCTCAACAGTGTACTCTACAGTAAAGTCAAATTTCTTTCCTTATTTTGTGTGAAGTCAAAGTGTGAACATTAAATAAAACCGGAGGGAGTATATTACTAATTTTTTATGAATCTTTCTTCGCAAAAATTTATTAGTTAAATAAGATTAAATGATATTTATTTTTTAAAATTAAAAAAGATAAAAATCCACGATATTTTATATGTTACTCGTGAGTCTTCTCTCTTAACTACATTCATTAATATTTATTCCATGATCGAGTAGATAAGTAAAAAAATAACGATCAACAACAATGACTTATAATTATGATATTAAATTGTATTTTACTTTATAAAACTTAATTTTATAGACAACTTTCATTAAATTTAAAACTTTTATTAAATTTAATTTAACAAATATTAATGTGAGGGGGGCAAACAGTGAGAATGATAGAAACTCAGGGGTTAAGTAATTGATTTTTCAAAATGAAAAGTTGCATTAATAATCATGGCATAACCTTAGGGGCTAATAGGGATTTTCCCTAAGTTCTATCATGACTATCCCTATTCCAATGCACGAAGAAAGACTCAGGTGATATTTGTTAGATATATATAGATTCTCAATATATAGTTTTTATGTTTGGCACATTAACTTAAAAGATAATATAGAACTGTTTTTCGACTTATCAATCTTATCAACCAATTTTTTTATTAAACACATAACTTTTGATTTCGCGCGCCAGAGAATGTCATAATCAAAATAAGTAAGGTTGAAGTTACTTTTCTGGCTGCATTTGTTGAAGTTACGTTAGAGGACCATTCTAGCTAGTTTTTCATATAACTTTTTCTTTATATTATTAATGAAAAGTATTTAAATTTTTTTTTCATAAATCAGCAGAATCGAATGTTACAACCACTTCAGCTAGAACTTCATAAATTTTAGCAGAATCAGTCAATTTAGCCAATTCAGTGTTACCAAACGGGCTCTTAGTGACCTCTTTAGTAACCGTTAACTTTTAGTGACTGAAAAGATCTTAAAGGAAAGTGGTGGTAGCTATTTTGTACAAAGTTGACTATTTGATTTAATTATGTTTGGTAAACAAGTTGTTGTGACTATTTAATGTTAAAAGCTACAAACTTCTCAAATGCTACTCAGTGTAGCTTCTAAAAAATCTTTTACTTTGAAAAAAAAAACTCTATAGAATTATCGTACCAAACATACAAGTAGAAGCTTTTAAGAACATTTTAATAGTGCAAATGCAAGAAGAAAGGAACTTTTTTTTAAAGGAAAACTAGTTATATTATAGCAATCAATGATAACAACAATCCCACATTCACGGCACACCAAACCTCCCTATGAGGCTCCGCATAGCCAAACGGCCCTCTCACTCTCTGACTAGACACAGAACAGACCACCCTAAAAAGAGCGAGACTATTCGCTAACCATGTGAAAGCTTCGATGCTTTTAACAGTCATACAAGCCTTATCGCTTCCAGCCATAAACCTAACCTGAATAATGAAAAAACAAACACAGAACCTAGCGCTAGTGTTCACAAAGCAGGAATTAATCCGGAAGTGCGGAACAATTAAATAACAAATGACACACACAAAATTAACTAAATGAGCATCCAAAGGAATCGCGGAATCCACTCTTCAAGTGTTGTCTTCCAAACGCTAGTCACATAATTTTTCTGTGGCGGCGGTTCGGGAGGGGGGTGAATCGTCCACATTAGACAGCCAAAATTCACCTTCTTTAATCGGGCTCCCTACCGCCGTCATTCCACGCGGATCAAATACAACTGGTAGAACTCCCACCTCAGTCACCACCAAAGCCAACAAGGCCAACCCCAGCATAGGAAGCGCAGACCTTGAAATCGACCCAGATCTACGGTTGCCTTCAAAACGAATGAACTCCATTGACTGAAGGCCAACCAGACACAAATCAATCGCAAAAACAAAGCCTCGTCCCTAACAATCACTATTCCAAGCGTGAAACCAGGCACTTCCCCAAGCAATCGTGAATCAATCGCAGGACATACCCTTGCGCGCCCCACTGAATCGAGATGCAGTCGCGATCGAATGCTCACGATCCAGATTCTCGCACTACCTATCTCGAACGACCGCAGATTCTCAGCTCACCCCTGCTCGCTGCTATATCGTCTTGTGCTACTCCAACCTGTCGGTAGGGCATACCAAAACATGTATATACTTTGATAATAAGAGCTTGTTTAGTAACTTTGTTTGCATTCATCCAATTTATGAGCCGATTTTTACTAATTGCCTAATTTTTTATTATGTGCTTTGAATTGTGTAATAATCAAATTAAGTAACGTTAAAGTTATTATTCTGACTAAATTGACTGAAGTTGATTGAAACAATTTTTTAGCTATTTAAATAAATTTTTCTTTAAATTATTAATAAAATATAATTTAATTTAATTTATAACTGTGTAGATTTAGCCAATTCATCCGCTCCAATAATAATATAACCAATTTAAAAAAAATCAGTCAATTTTAATATACCAAACGATCTTGCTTTGTTGTAAAATATGCATGAATGTTGGATCCACCTCGATTATGGGTCAATCGGGAAGTGTTTATCCCGATTAAAATTTTGAACTTATATTTGATCTGAATTGAGCAGATTTGGTGTATTTAAGTTGATATGAACTTTTTTTTATCATCGAACGGGCATTCATTCATAAAAAGCACTCAGAAAGGGGTTGATATAACAAAAGGACCACATGTAATCATCCGCCCGTGGACGAGACTCTGAGTTAATCACCTTTGACAAAGCAATATAAATCGCTAATCCTAAATTGGGCATATTTAAAACCACGACGATTACCGCAGGCCTCTCATCCCCCAATCCAAGTGCAAAAGTCTTACAGCATAAAATAAATAAGC